ATGTGTCCCTCACCCCCTAAAGCAATGCTACCTTGAGCAGCGTTTTTCATCTGATGATAGACACCAAGCTGTAGTCCAAGGTGTCCTAAGAAATGCAGGTTCTAAAGGTTGGAAAGTGCTCCTGAGATCTCAGCAACATGTGCATGTACCCAAAACCCTGACGGAAGTAACTGGTTTTATTCTTCCCTGGATTTCATCCTGATTCTGGAACTGCTCCATCACCAGACTGCTCTGGGGCATGGAATCTGAACTCGCCTCAGTGGGCATGTGACCGGGGCTGGCCAATTAGTGTGCACCATCCAGTTGGCAGCTGAGATCCTGCAGGTGTGGTCCTGTGACCCGGCCCAGGGCGCTTGCTCCATCCTGCCCAGGCACTGAGCCCTGTGGGCAGTGCAGTAGTTCATTGCTGCCACCTGGAGATGCCAGCCTGCCCTTCGCAGCCCTGGCTGTAGAGCTGAGCCACTCTCTGAATCATCAGGTTCCTGATGAAATAGGAGCCACGGCTCCAACATCGATGATGGACAGCTGTTTTCTGATGATGGCTTAATTACATAAACCCTGTTAGGTACTGATTTTCCCTGCTGAGTTTCAGCACATGAATTAGCAGTGCCTTCCCAAGGAAACTCAAGTTCAGCCTGGCAAACAGGGTCCTGGGTCTTCAGTGGTGAAGGTCCCCCAATCTCTTCTGTCTGGAGGTGGCCCTGCGGGGTTCCTGTTGGGTGCACATTTCCCAAGTCCAGGAGTGGAGGGAGTGCAGTCCTGTTGGGGTCTTTGTGAAAGTAGGGGCTGGTGTCATGGCCCAGGGGGGCTGCTGCCCCTCTGGCTGACTCTGAAGAATCCTCTCTGGCATCAAGGCAGAGCCCAAGACCCTTGCCCCCTGCTGACCCCACAAAGACCTTCCTTCAGCCAAGACCACCTAGGGAGTGCTTCTTTCCCTTGCCTCAACAGGTTTCCAAGTACACCATGATAAAGCAATGCACTGCAAAGCAGACCTGGGAGCTACTTATCTTGCATAACTGACACCTTATACCTACAAACAGCAGTTCCTCCAGTTCCTAACCCAGCCCCTAAAAACCAACATTTACTCTCTGCTTCCATGGGTTTATTTTAGATGCCTCCAGTGACACCTGCAGCATTTGTCCTTCCATGTCTGGTCATTTGGCTTAGCTCTAGGTTCATACGTGTTGTGATTTGGTGACAAGCCTAGAAATGGAGGGTGCCAGGTAACCAGTGCAAGGTCTGCACCAAGAAGCAGAAACTTCAAGGGAGATGGGAGCTACAGAGGGATGTTGAACAGAAGTATCACAAGGGAATGTCTGTGCTCTAGGGCTGCCACTCTGGCTGCTGGCTGGAAATTGGATATTAGTGTGACTCCAGCTGACCCCCGAAGAGCACCCCAAGTGCTTTAAATTGCTGAGTTATATTGACTTATTTCAATATATCCTTTTAGAGAGTCACTCCCATTTCACAAGTTAGGAAAATGGGGAGCAGAGAAGTGAGTTAACTTGCCCAGCCTCAAACAACCACTAGGGGTAGAGCCAGAACCACCCTAGAGTGGCCCCAGTGTCTTTGCTGTTAACTGCAATGATCAACTTTAGGAAACTGTTTGCACTAGGAATCTGCTTATCCTGGGCAGAGAGTCCCCTGAAGGAACACAGATTCCTGCAGAAGCCATTCGAATTCAGACCCGCACACAGGGAAAGTTCAGAAAAAATAAGTCCCTAATTAAGAGTGGAAGCAATGGTTCTGCTGGGCATGGCTGGTGTGTCAGATGACATGCGCAGCTCTTGAACATCAGTGTGCTGCTGTGATCGGCAGAACAACTCTGGTGTTACAGAGCTGATTGTTGCCATTTTATAGATGAGGAATCTGAAGCCCAGAGAAGTTAAGTAACCTGCCCAAGGTCACAACGACTTAGATCACAGAGTGGTCTTCCCTGAAATTTTCCCTTATGTCAGGAAGGATCCAGGGTCAGGTAAGAAGGAAGATCTAAGAAAAGGAGAGGTGAGACTAAGCTGTTCACAGTCCATCCAGAAACAGAAATGACAAAATAGGTGAGCTTAAAAGGAACCCACTGGACACCATCTCTGTAAATTGGAGGCCATTGGTCTCCTTTTTCAAAATATGTTTTTGTTGTGCAGTAGAGTTGGGCACAGCGGTGGGTTCATTTTGACATCAATATACAAGCATGGAGTATCATTTGCTTCATTTCAAATACCTTCCCCGTCTCTCCCCTCCTCCCTCTCCTGTTCCTTTTCCTCTATTGGTCTTTCTTCTGTTTATTTCTTGGTTTTCCAACTGGTGCATTTTAGATATATGTAAATTGAAACTCTCTGTGGTGTATTCATATAGGTACATAGTGTAATTTGGTCAATTTCTCTGCACTGTTTGTCTCTGTTGCTCTCCCTCCTCCCTCTCCTTCCTCTGCTCCACAAATCTCTCTTCTATTTTCATGGAATCCTTCCCCTATCCCTTTTTAAAAATTTCACTCTAATTCAGGAGAGAAAACATTTGACTTTCTGAGTCTGGCAGATTTCATGAAGCAGGATCTTTTTCAGTTCTCACCTTCTACTAGCGAATGACATGGTGTCACCCCTCTTTGTGGCCAAGTTGAACTCCATTGTGAACATCCACCACATTTTCTTACCCACTCATCTGTTGACGGGACTTGGTTGGGTCCACGAGTTGGCTATTGTGAATTGCACTGCTGTAAAAGTTGACATGCTTGTTTCACAATCGTATCTGACTTTAGTTCTTTTGGATAAATACCAAAGAGTGGGATAGCTGGGTCCTATGGTGGTTTCATTCCTAGTTTTTTTGAGGATTCTCTCTACTGCTTTCCACAGTGGCTGAACTAATTTGAAGTCCTACCAACAACATGA